TACTTTTTTGTCAAACTCCCAACTATGGCTGCCTGTATAAAGCCTTGAAACACATGAATGCTGTCTTGGTTTTCAAACAGTTTATGTGTAAGGTCCACAAAGATTCTTAGCCAGTTTTAATTACATGTAGCTATTATTTGGGCTACTCTCGCTGTGTACAGTCACAGTACATCTTGACCAGAAGTCTCCACAACACGTTTTAGGAGTGACTTGGGGATGGTATTGGTACGTCTCTATTGTGTCCACTGCCCAGTGGTGATGGGCAGTTTTAGTGCCTGCCTCTCCGAGGTTTGTCCAAAGAGATTCTCAGAATGTGTATATTTCAAGATTCCTGTGAATTCCTCACGTACTCTTTTCCCCAGTGGGTGCCAAAAAGAGAAAAATGCTAAGGTCACTCCCCTTTCAAAGTCCAGCATGTCACCAGAGCCATATAAAGGGCGGAGTTTCAGGAAGTGTTGAAGGGAGGGTGAGGGAAATGCTGGGGGACAAGTTATATCACGTACAGGTACAAATTCTCTATGATCATTATGTATATCTAAAATGTACCAATAAAATGTAACGTTAAAAAAAGTTTCTTGGATTGTTGGGGGTGAGTCCAACAGAAGAGAAAGTGGGCAGCACAGGGAGATGGTACCCACTGATTTATCTCCAGATGCATGTGTGTATAGAGTCCCTTCCCCTTTGGGTATGTGCAGGTCTGTGGATATGATGGGGTTTCACTCCTGTGATAGTTGCATTGGGAATTCAAAGGAATGCTTTTAAAGATGTAATTATGGTTCCCTAATTGTTCAGTTAATCACAGAGACATCTTTGATGGGCCTAAATTAATCAGGTGAATTTTAAAACACGAGTGACCTCTACCTAAAGGTAGAGATTTTGTTTCCTTTTGCTTCATTTTTTGAGATAGGGTCTCAGCACGTAGTTCAGGCTAGCCTTGGATTCACTGTGTAGCACAGGGAGCAGTCCTCCGGTCTCAGCCTCCCAAGTGCTGGGATTATAGATGTGGGCCACTATGCCTGGCTAAAGGTAGACATTTGAAGTATTGGAAAGATTATCATCCTTGCTTTGCAGAAAGATCTAGGGGAGCCTCTAGGAACCAAGAGTGACCCTCAACCAATGCCCAGAGAGTGGATGTGGACCTCAGCCCTGTCAAGGAATCCTGCCAAGAATCTGAATAACCCCGAAAGATGACTCCTTCAAAGTAGAGGTGGCAGCTAAATGCAGCTCCTGGCCTCATCCTCTGTGTGGGTCCTTGCTAACTGTACTGCCCATCTGCCACGGTCAAGCTGGCATGCTGCCTCAGGCCACGGCGAATGTTAGATGAGTGGACAGCTGGTGATACCTGGACCTCAGCCCAGATGGGGAGCAACTACCCAAACGTAAATCCCTGGCCCAGGGAAACTGCAAAATAACAAGTGCTTGTTGTTTTAAGCCTCTGCATTTGTGGTGATTTCTTTGTTTTTTTTTTGTTTGTTTGTTTGTGTCTTTTTCATTTTTTATCAGTACCAGGGATCGAACTCACGACTGCCTGCTCGCAAGGCAGGCGCTTATGCCACTGAGCTAAATCCCCAGCCCCTGTGGTGATTTCTTAACAGCAATAAAAGTAATAAGAAGGTAACTGAATTTCATTCTGATATGCAGTGATGTGCAAATGCCATGAAATCGCAGAGAAACTTTATCTTCAAAATTCACAAGCAGGAATGTGGCCGTGGTGATCATGGCGCGAAGATCCAGTTGCCCTTGAGCAATGGACCTTTTCCCCTCTTTTGGATCAAGCACTAAACAAAGCCAGGGTTTTCAAGTGTTGCGACAGTTCCAAGCCTCAGTACTTCATCAACGTCACAGTGCCTCAGACACAGGGAAACTTCAAAGCAAAATCAAACACAAGCCTAGGCTTAAAATTAAGACAGGGACTTCAGATCAAGTCCACAGTGTCTGCCAGTAGAGAGCCGGGTTTGCCATAAATCACATCAGGATGTAGTAAAGTCAGCATCATCTGTCAGCTGTGTCTGAACCAGGCCTTGGAGCATGGTCCACCTGAACCAGGGTTGCACCTGTGCCAGTGTCAAATTAGAACAGGTGCTGGATAGGAAATTCAACAGCCTGCGGATGGAAAATCTTATAAAGGTTCAGCAAAGCCCAGGGTCAATGAGTAGGTAGAGCCGCTGACTGATGAGAAGTAATGGTGTCACCAGCTAGGCTAGGGCCATTCCAGGCAGGTGCACCTTTCCGTGTGCATAGAGAGCACCTCTAACTGCTACCCACAGGGCAGATGATTTCTTCACTTGCTGTGGGGGAAGTGTACACTTAAAATTTTGGGAGAAAGTAAATCCTCCATCTCTAACAGAACCAAATTTATTATAAAACACAGTCGTTTGGGACATCATTATTACCAGAATCATCTGGAACATTTTCTACTTTATGATAAAAAACCATGAAAAGAGTCGTATAATTGGCAAACATATTATTTATCTTGAATAACTTCAATTTTTAAAGATGCCTTATTTTTAGTTTTTGGTTGTAGAAGCAAATCACTCCTATTTTGAAAGACACTAAAAGCTCAAACATTTTTCTAAGAAAGGAGGAGATCCACGGGTGCTAGTTTTCACCCTTGGGGGTCCTTCTCGGAAAACAAAAGGTGTTCTTTTCATTTTGATCTGATTAATTTTGTTGTTTGCCTTTGTCATGTCCAAGACATGCCTGGCCCCTACAGTTAGCAATAGAGAAAGTCTGTTCTCCAAGCTCACACCAGATAGGCAACATTTGTTTTTCCCTGTGTGCTTCCTGCTTGATTCTTCATGTGAAAATTGACACTTGAGAGCAATGTAAACACAGTCTATCCATTCTTCTCAGCAGTCTAAGCCTATCAAGTTAGAGATCTGGTTTCGAAACTCTTGGGACTGTGGTCTACTGGGGTGAGGCAGGAGACCTCAATGCCTTCTTGCTCTCCTGGTTTTAGAAACAACCAAGAATTGGACTACTTCACAGCCCATCACAAGAGCACCATGGCTGTGGGTTGTACCTTAAAAATACCTAAGGTAGGAGATCCAAAAGCCACGTCACTTGTGGCTTCCCTGTCTTACTTCTAACCTTCCACCTTCAACATGAAATGTGTTTGCTAAATTATGTTAAACTTGTTGATAACTATCTTTAGTCTTCATGAAGACTGGATATAACAGGAGAGCTGGGGACATAGCTCTGTGGTGGGGTACTTGCCTAGCATGGGTGAGGCCTTGGGTTTCATCCCCATCACGGAAGAAAAAGGAAAGAAAAACAAAGAAAAAAGGAAAGAAAAAAAGGTAACAGCAAGAGTTACCTTGATAAATTTGCACTGACGAAGATACTGGCCATTATACTTTCTCTTTGATTAAGAATAAATACAGGAAATTTCTTTAAAAATTTAAGAGCAGGAGCACCACCCAGCGTCTCCTGAGACCTCTGCCATGTTGGAACTTTGGGTGCTGGGAAACCAAGCAACCACCCCGCCTCCCTAGTAAGCAGCTGTGAGCCTACCAGTGTACGGGCTGAGAATCAAACATCCCATCCGCACCCCCCCCCCACCATTAGCAAATGGGAGGCAGAGGTCTGAGCATCTCTTGGGAGGCTGACCATCTGCAACATAGCAAATAGGGGAGATTTCCTTTTACCATCTCTTTGAAGGCAAATATTGTTATCACTGTTTTGCTTTGTTCTGATTAATTGTGTTGCTCTATTCAATATTCCGTTTTGATAAGTTCTATAGTGTTCTGTATTTGGTTTGATTTTGCTATACCTGATTGAAAGAACAACTATTGTGAAGATAACAAAGATATTACTATGGTACCTATTACTGTTATCCCGGTAACCTGCTGTGACGTTCTGTACCAATTCCACTGCACTGTCTCACCTGGCTATGTTCTGTCTTGTTCTGTTGCATTTCACTACCCTCAAAATAATAATAAAAAAAATTTAAGACCAGCAAATAGATTTGTTTAGATAAACTAAATTTTATCATTCAATGATAAATAAATCATTTACTGGTAGCCAGGAAACTCAGAGTTCAGTGAGTGCTCAATTACCATAACTTTTAGTCTGGGGATATTTACAACATATACTCATTCCACCTGAATATTTTGTTCAATTTGTATTTTAACGTATGGCTGATGAAATGATTATCAAAATTGTTTAAGAAGTAATTAAATTTTACATTTAAAAATACTGAACTGGGATGATAATTCCAAAGCTGTAAGGATATATTATAAAAGCTCAACTCTTACATGCTAAAAAGCAAGAAAATATAGTGGTTAAAATCATTGTACTTGTTTACATTCCCACCCACAATGTAGGAGAGTTCTTTTTTCCCACATCCTTGCCAGCATTTGTTATTACTTGAGTTTTCGATGAAGGCCGTTCTTTCTGGGGTAACATGATGTCTCAGTATAGTTAGTTTGCATTTTTCTAATGGCCAGTGATACTGAACATTTTTTCGTATGTATACGGGCCATTTCTACTTCTTTTTCTGAGAAGTCTATTCCTTTCAGTTGCCCATTTTTTGACTGAGTCTTTTATTTTGGGAGGTCTAATTTTTTTGAGCTCTGTTTGTCCATTGAAAAGAAAGTATTGTCCTTTTTGTCTGTTTCTTCTTTGGAAGAGACAATCTTTTTTAAAATGATCTGTACTCTGAATAACATCTCAGCTATTCTTGTGAGACCGTGATACACAGTATATTAATTGTTATTCTCTCCTTATTAACCTCAACCTAGACATTATTGACTTTGAACAAGGTTTTAGTATCTTTATGATTCAGCTTACTGTCTGTAAAATGGAGAAAGCAAGAGTACCTCCTTACAGGGTTACTTTGAGGAACAAATCCATTAATACACATGATCCACGTAGGAGAGAAACACTAAAAATGGTTTGCCTTTGGGCTAATGGTGAACTCCGCCATTACATGGTACAATCACCACGTCCTACCCTGCCGGGCTTCTGAAAACTGTTCCATCGCAGCAGCTCATGCTTACCCACTGTGGCAGATGCGGACGAAAGCAGAGATTTGCCCCAGGAGCCCCAGCCGGCCCATCCTCCACCCCGCGGAGGGGAATCCACAGCCTGCAGAGAAACAGATCAGAAGGTCAGCAATTCAGTTCATGCCTGAATGTAAAAACACTCACTGGCTGGAAACAAAGAGAAGGTTAAAAAAAAAAAATCAACGACAGTTAGATCTCACTGACTTACAGTTTACCGGGGTTATGAAAGAATATCTTGACTCGAGTTACCATGTGCACCTTGGAACAGAATAGATTAATAGAGGTGCTGGCTCCTGAGGGCTCAGTCTATACTGAGAGGGAGCCTCACTTCTGTTATCTGGCAGGCAGGGGCACATGGGGAAAAGACATAAATATCAGCATGAAAATGATTTGGAAACGTTCAAAACAACCTTGACACCGGCAGCTCTTACAGAGCTGAACAAATGTGCTCTTCAAGGCGGGATTAACCTTCACACCTCTGGGCGGTGGACTGGGCAGTCACAGAGGCGCGGACAGCTGCTCGGTGGTGGACAGCAGGGAAGAAAGCTTTGTAAGGTAGACACCTGCCTACCCAGGCATCTGCTCCTCTTAGGTGAGCCTGTATCCCCACCCCTCATGCGAAGAGTGGTAGACTGTCCCTGGCCTCAATGGATCCAAATTCTCTTGTCTAAGTGTTTGGAATCGGGACTGGAGTCTGCTTTAGCGTGAGCTGCTTGCTGGGGTAGATGACAAGTCAGGGTCTCTGGGCTGACCCATCCTCCCACAGCGGCCAGGGAGAAAGCAGGATGTGCTTGCTCAGAGAGGCCGCCTGGATTTCAGACCGCCTGGATTTCAGAGAGCTTGTCCACCCTCGGTTTCTATCCCTCCTGAGGCCCTGCTGCCTTCTCCCTTTGGGTTCTGTGCAATTCCCTCTTATTTTTTCTTACTCTTAAAAAAAAGTTTTACTCACTGCTGGGTGTGGTGACATATGCAGGTAACTCAAGTTCTCAGAAGGCTGAGGCAGGAGGATAGTGGGTTCCATACCAGCCTGGGCTATAAAGTACTTTCAAGGCCAGCCTGAACCACATAGCAAGACCCTCTCTCAAAATACAGAAACCAAACAGAAGCTTTGTTCACTGACACATGTTCAGAGCTTAGAAGAGTATCTGGAATATAAGTGCATAATAAATATATTTTGGATAAGTGACCAAAATCCATCTATTTTCTCAGTGTCCGTTAGTTGTTGTTACTTGCAACCAGTGATTCCTGACTGCATTAAGGGAATCACAGTATTCACTTACTATCTGGACACATATTCTGGAAAACAGGACAAGAATAAATATCTTACGGATTAACCATACAGATAACGCAGCCTTTCACTCAAAGAAAGAAAGCCATTAAAACAGATGTGAAAAATTCCTGCGAAGCTTGTGAATGCTACATCTTTGGCCCAAGGCTGTTCCATCAGCCATTATCAACCCCTTCTGCTCCTGTCTTCCACTCCTGCAGGTAAGGGTGGTTGTGTAAAACACTTTTGTACCCACAGACATATAAACAGGAAAGTGTTTGCTGTGATGATGAATTACCCCAGCATAGCTAGTACCAACTCCTTCCCCTCCCACCCTCCTGCCTGAGCTCAGGCATGATGCCTGGGATTGAAGTATCTGTTCTTGCTGCCATTAGAAAAAGGAACTGGAGAAGGAACTGAAGTTGCTGGTCCCAGCACTGTTAAAGCACTAAAACAGAGTGAGTAGCTATTTACATTCCCATCCTATTAAGTGGGAAAAAATGAATTACTATTCTGTAAACAACCATATGTTGCATTTTAGTTACTTACACTCAAATGTATTCCTAACTGATTAACCTAGTGAACACCGGAAACCATCTATCAGTGAGGACCAGTGGTGAAGAGAAAGGGTTATGGTATCCAGTGGCCCGGGTTTAAGTCATTCTGGGTAATAAATTACTCAATTTCTTTTAATCCTTCATTGCAGAATGCAAGTGATGGTGGCATAAGAATTGTAACAACTAACAACTTCACAGGTCCTGGGAAAAGTAAAATAAGTAATTCATATAAAGTTGTGAGCATGATAACTAGCATATCATAAATACTCCATGAATATTAGTTAGTAACAGTAATAAGAAACTGCGTTTTTATGACTAAAAAACAAGAAGTTTTGAAAGTTGTCGTTTTTTTCCTTGACCTGGAAACAATGAGAAGCTTGTTAACGTGAATCAAGACACTTACGACTGTCGGTTTTCATTTTTGGTGCCTAAAATGATTTACGTCACTTCAGCAATGGGACCCAGTGGCAGTTTTATACAATCATGAAGACAGATGGATGTTGATGATTAATATCATTCTTTCATGGGACAAATTGCTACCTGTGATTAGGCAGAGTTAATACACTTAGGGGTGACAGCTTCTAACTCGAATTAACAATACTTAATATGCTCTGACAGCTGGTAATTGACTAGCAAATGGAAATAAATGTTAAATGAATCCCGAACTTTTTGCTGCATAATAAATGATCCTTCAATTGCTTTAGTAGTGAAGTTCTTTGACACTAAGCTCAGATGTGATCAGCTGCAAAGAATATTTGTTATTAATGGCAAATACTCAAGGGACTACATGAAAACATTTAATATAAAAACATAAATATTCAATGTAAATTATAAATATAGATCATCACGAATACTGTTCCCACTTTAAAAGGATGTAATGTAACTTACTTTTGAGACTATACAATAGACAGCATAGATCAGCTCAGAGCTCCATTCTCAAATCTATTTTAAAGCTCTTTCTCACCTCCCTCATAACTCCCACCTTCTTTAACAGATAACTTCATGTTCTAACTTACAGAGAAAACAGAAGCACCAGATGAAAGCCGCCTTAGTCTCCTTCTTTTTCCACACAGACTCTCAAAGGAATGAACTCATACTTCAACAGCGAATCAGGCATGGATTAATCAAGGATATCCAAAACTCAATTAGAGATGGTGTAAATATCTATAACCAGTGAGCAGTCCCAAGAATACGTAAGAATGTGGGGTTCTATCAGGTTCAAACTTCTTTAATTAGAAAAGATATTTACATAACAAGTATACTATTTTTAAATTAAAAAATACATTTTTGAGGCTGGAGGTTTTTGCTTAGTGATAGAATGCTTGTCTACCATGCACTTGGGTTTTACCCCTAACAAAATAATAAATTTTATTTATTTTAGGTTTTCAAGTTCAAAGATATAAAAAGAAAAAATTTATAAATATCAGAATACCATTAAATTCAAAGGCCTTAATGCTTAGATGGAACTATATGTACCTATAAGTCTGCTTCTCCTGTTCTCATGGTAGATGAGGAATCAGTTACTGCGTGTAACCTGAATTCAGAGATGTGGTCAAAAGGATTTATGAGACCACATCCGCTTTAAGTTCTGTAACTCTTGACACTGCTACTCTAAAAAAGGGCTCAGTGTGACAACAGGGGGATGTCAATTGCTCTGGACGCCTGCAGCTCTATCAAACTATCTGGCTGAAAATGGTCTCAGTTATTTCCAAGCAATTTTCTTCCTTGGTGATTGTATCCACTCAACTCTAAGGAAGGTTTAAAGATTAAATGCAGAAAGATTTAAAGCCTCAAAGCCATGTTATTAATATTTTTGTGCACATTAGTTTTCTATCCTATTGATGTTTATGGATTTTGACCTACTAGAGTGACAGGTTTTGAAAACCAAAGGAAAATATACAATTGAATTATTAGACTTCTGATTTTAGGCTAAACTCCTCCTAGGTTTATACATACTATTATAACATTTAAGAGGACTTAATGGCTACCAAATAAATTTAACAGCTTTATTATTAAGCAGTTGGAAGATTCTGTACACGCAGATAAATGAGGAACTTAAAAAGGAAGTAGAATAGATAACTTTAAATGTTGTTTAAAATATTTGAATGTGTTTAAGTTGGCAAAAAGGACCAAACATTAATTATAAGTCCCTAGAAAGTGACTATCCAATTTTCTAGATTTCTAGAGTAAAATTTCTGAGAGAAACATAAAGTCTCAAAAAGAATTGAGTTTACAGTCTTAATAAAGTGAACATTAATTGCTTAAATCAAATTAATCTCTGAGGTTTTTTTTCAGACACAAAACACACAACGGCCTACAATCAAAACCCATGTAACATGAATCGAGCTGTACTATGCCTCACTCAAGTTACTTCCTCTTCTGATCACCATGGAGATAGTAATGTCCTTTTCTTAGTCACCACTGTTGTCTCCACACTCCACCTCCGCACGCCCTCCTCTGGGTGTGGGGGACTCTTCTGGCCTTTTACCCTTCCTCTCTTTGGCTATTTGCTACATTTAATCATGCATGCAATTTCTTCATTTTAACACTAACAAATAAAAATCACAAGGACAAAGTGTTTCTTTCAGCCAGATCTGGTTTCTGTTCCACATCTTTCTCCTTTGCCTTGTAAAATTAACGCATGTGCCTTCTGTATCCACGGCCCTTTTCACTCCTCACCCAACACAGCAAGACTCCTACTGCCAATACTTAGTGAAGGTATTTCCTCAAAGTCGCAATGCAATTGCTTCCTTATTGTCAAAGCTATGGACATGTTTTCGTCTTTCATTACCTGACCTCTTAGAAGCATCTGAAGGTTAAACATGTTTATGTTCTTAAAGGATTATTTTCTTGTGGCATCTGTATTAGTATGTTCTTCATTTCTATAACAGAACACCAGAGGTGGGCTAACTCTATGAGGAAAAGACATTTACATAGTTGACAGTTCTGGAGGGTCAAGGGCAACAGACTGCCATCAGCACCGCTCTGATGAGGACCCCTTGGTGTGTAGTGCCTCAGTGTGGTAGTGTATGTGGAAGAGACTACATCTCAAAACAGACGGCAATTCAGGGGTCAAGCTCACACTTTAGTAAGTCTCACAAGAGCTCAGGAATCGTAATCCCTTCTCAGGACAACTTCCCCCATGACTTAAGAACTTTTCACTAAGCCACACCTTCCAAGGGTCCTGTTTCTCAGCATCACCAACACTGAGAGCACTCCTCCAACACATGCACCATTAGAAGACAAACTCGGGCGTAT